GTTGACAAGATACTGTGATTTTAACATTAACCTGGTTTCCCAAAATGACCTGGTTTTCATAACATTCTAAAAAAACATTTTTTTTAAAAAAATAAGAAATAAAAATGGCAAAAATATGAAAATAAATATATATAATATTTTTTTGATGTTGAATTCAATAAATGTACTTAAAATGCTGAAATATGAAAGTTAATAAAACAACTAGTTTCTATAAACCAACTCTGGGGCCCAATACCTCAAAACACCCCCGTCAATTTTTTTTTTTTTTTTGCTGTTAATATATTCAGCTGCTTATTATTATCTTACTAGGCACAAAATATCTAACTGGAAAAACTACTGAAACATATAAAACTTTAATATCAAAGATGTATTACTTTTTCAAGAAATTCCCAAAAAATGTTTGTAAATAAAATAAAAATAAGTTTGTAAATAAAATAAAAATATATTTAAATATACAAGATTTTTCAAGATGTAAGTTATTTTGACTGTGTTTGTAATAGTTCACAATATTGTTCCCATTTTACTTGTACTTCTTCTATTTCAGCATTTTCAAACACATAGTTTCTACCGGAACTAGAGCAAGCTTGTGGAACAGATAGTTTTTTCAATATGTTGGTGTAAGGAATAAAACAGTAGTCCTCTCTTTCAGGCCAGTTAAAACAGATTAATGGACCTTTTGGGTGAAGAAACTTAACTTTAACATCAACTTTTTCTAGATTAGTTTCAGTTACAATGCCAATCCACCACTTATCATCATAGACTACAGCTACATAACCTCCTAAAGTGACAGTATCAAGTTGAAATATATCTTGTTTCTTTTTAAGGTTGTGAATTATTGTATAATTAGTGTCTGTACTACACCTCTTTGCCCCAACCCTGTTATCTCCAAGATGTATAAATTGATGAAAGCTACGAGTACCAGGTAGAGTTGTTACACCAGTGTACCTTTCTTTTTGATCCTCACGTTGCAATTGTAAGTCTATCCCCTTTATGTAAATGAAGTTAACAACCTTGATTTTCTCAATACAAAATTCATACATAGCTTCTGATGTGAGAATTTGGTTTCTGTATGGTCGTTTTAAACTTTCTTGCGCTGTTAACCTTTTTACAGTGCCACCAATCCCATCGCATGGTGACTTTTTGTGTGACGTGGCAAAAAAATTCCATTCAACTTTAAGGGAAAATTGGCTCTCTAGTTGGCATAGATTGTAAAAGCTTTTACAATTTTTGTACTGTCCTGTCACAACCATCAGTAAATAGATGTAATTTGGACAGATTGGAAAATTTTGTTTTTAATATTGGTATGATTAGTTTGTACACATAAGTTACATCATGTGTAATGTCGTCTGATATAAAACAATAAGAAATATGTTTCAGTACACCTTTATCATTTTTATAGTATATTACTAATGGATGTAAAGAACATTGTTGGGTGTTCCAATGATAGCTTTGATTTTCATCTTGGACTACAAAAGTATAATTTTCAGCAAAGTCGCCAATAATGATTAAGTTTGATTGATCCATATTTTGTTTTAGTTGGTTAAGGTAATGTGATTGAGAGTGAGCAATGAAAGAATGAGCTTGTAGCTTTTCAAAGCAAGATACTAATAGTTCAACAAATGTTGAAACATCTGCTGTTAAACTCAATAGTGTTGCATGATCAGTAGTTTGCCATTGCTTGTAGTGTATCTCAAAATCATCTTAATATTCTCCGAAAATCTCATACATATATTTGGTGAGGGTTTTTTTACCAGGACAATTATCACACTGTGCAAGCAAGCATTCTTTGCTTTCTACTGAGCAAACGGTTTTTGAAAGTAAATCCTTATACTTTAGTCCAATATTTAAGGCATCTACTAGCAATATGGCATTTTGGTGATAACAACAAACACAAACAGAATGTGTACCATTTGCACCTGGCAAAATGCACCACTTTGGTCTAAGTGAAGCAAATTTTGAGTAACTTATTTGTATTTCTGGATTGTTTTCTTTGTATAATACATATAGTTCATTTAGATTACACAAAAGCAGTTTTTTTTGTTTATGGAAATTCTTTTGAATGCTAACATAATCTTTTTTTTCAGACATAGTTCTACATAAATCACTTGAGTCATAAAACAATTTAACAGAATCTTCTATTTCTTTGTGTAAGATATTACCTTTATACAATGGAGAGATAGCTAACAATCCTTTTTTATTAAAAATTTGTCTAGCCATTTTTGCTTGGTATTCTGTAACTGCAAAGTTATTTTGTACTTCTAATATCGAACAACTTGGGGCTGCCAGTGTTAGAAGTTGAACAATTGTCCTTTTGTCAAAACATAAAATTTTTTCTTTTATCAAGCTCATAATTTCATCAAAGTTTTTAGCCTTCTTTTTCATGTTATTTGTTTCATAACACAGTTTTGAAGGAACATTGACTTAACTTTCAGTTTTTCTAGTAACGTTATTTACCATTTTGTTGATGCGCGCAATTTTTTGCTTTCCTTCTAAGAGAATATGTTTTGATGACTTTGAATGAGATTTTAGAGGAGATATATTAAAATTTTTGAGTTCTTCATTGATCTCCTGTCTTTTTGATTTGAATGATGATATTAGAAAATCCTCATCTTGTTCCTGACTGACTTGAGTGACTTTGTTTCTTTTCTTTAAGATCTTCTTTTATGGCAATCTTTTGCTTACAAGGTTTGTAAAGTTTCTTCCCAGGAGCAATATTCAAACTACTTCTCATCATGACTTGTGACTCATTTATTGTAACTACTATGAGATTTTCTAAAAGTAATTGAATTGTATATAGCTTATCTGCACAATTGTTCAAAACATTGTTTATGTTTTAGAAAATACAAATTAAAAAAGTATATATATATATATATATATATATATATATATATATATATATATATATATATATATATATATATATATATATATATATATATATATATATATATATATATATATATATATATATATATATATATATATATATATATATATATATAATATTTAAATTCTACATCTATTTACTTGTGATTTTCTTTGTATGTTTATTGAATGGATCACAACATGCTTTCTGTCATATAGGATACAATTTCAAATATTTTGTAGTATGTCTTTCACATAATATCGTTAAGTTTGATAACTCAATGTTACAGCATAATGATATAGTTATTTTTTCTTCATTGCTAAAAGTTTCAATAACATTTTGTTGGCCATTGCATTCATCTGATGTCAATAAACCAATAGAACACATCTTATAATAAGTTACTTAGTATGAATGTATTTCCTAAAAAAAAAGAAAAAAATTCTTCTTTTATACATAATTTTGAGTAAAAAAAAAATTATAAATAAAAATAATTCAAACCTTTTCAGAATCCTTTTGTTGTATAATTTTTTATATTGATAGATATTGTTAATTTTCTTTATAAATACTTACATAATCTATATATATCAAATTTTTAAAATTTAAATAAAATTTTACCGATAAATGTTGTTATAACTGAACTTTTTATAAACTAGTTTTTATAAACTTTTACAAACTATAGTTGTCAAAATTTTAAAAACAAATGCACTTCAATATAACACCTTGTCAGATTTTAAAAACAAAACAGGATGTTTTTTTCAGTTGTTAAGATCAAATAACAAATTTATTATATAATTACGACT